AGTGTGTTGCACATGCAACTTGCCGAATATACTTGCAACATCTGCACCTCATTCAGGAAATGGAAGCAACGCATGTGTCCAAAACCATTTTCACAAAAGGGAACAAGCTGGGAACCAATTCGCGAATGCTACGGAAGCCACGACCGCTAAACCCGGAAACTCTAATGCCTCACCCCTCAAACCCTGAAACCGTCAAAGCTGTCCCTAAACCCTAAACCCCTCCCCATAAGCCCCGCAAACCCTTACGCCCCAAGCCGCCTTTATGCCAGGGTTTCCCAAAACTAGGGGTACCTTAGTTTGGGGTCCTTCTAATAAGGATCCTACTGTTTAGGGTCCCCTTGTTTTCGGAACTCGCAAATGCCCTAAATAGGGTCTAGAGACGGTCTAGAGTCAAGGCATGTAAAGGATTCAGGGCATAGGGTCTCTCTGCTAGGATGCCCAGTAACCTAGGAATTAAAAGGGGTCCCTTTTTGGTATTGGGTAACTTAATAAGGAACCGAGGACTACAAAAAGGGAGTAAGGGTACTACTGCGCACGCTAGTCCCCAGACCCCCGGCAGGATCTGGAAAGTAGATCCACCAATATGGGGCCCTATACTACCAAGGGTACTTTAAAGGAACCCCCATTAAGGGATCTACTTTTTGGATCCTCCCGAGATTCTGGGTCTGTCTTGTCTCTTTCAGTCCAAGCTCTGTCAACGCATTGGTGTCCAGTCCTCGGCCAAGTCTTGGGGTCTGGCTCTGGTGGCTCCAAGACAAGAGGGTCCACATGCACTATTAGTATGGAATTAAGGGTTTAGGGTTTAAGGCTTATAGGGTGTAAGGTTTAGGGTTTGGGGTTGAAGGTTTAGGGTTTACGCTCTCGCAACAGGGTTTAGGGCTTAAGGTTTAGGGTCTTAGTTGTCCTCCTGCCTGAAGGAGGCTTGAAAGCAGCTCTTATCCTTGACGAGAACCTATCTTATCTCTATCACATGGGTGGTTGTCAAAACTAGGGTCCCTCTTTGGGTCCCTATGGTAGTACGGCACCGAATATTTAGGGTACCCCAAAACGGGACCATAATTTTGACAACCACTCATATAACTATCAGGTTATCATGTCACGTCTGACTCCTTACCTTTGGTTAGTAGGGAATGGAGGAATGGGGACAATTATAGCTCATATTACTACCGTTCTTCCATTCCCTACTAACCAAAGGTAAGACTCTAGGTGCTTCGGGGGTACCTCGGGCCAGGGGGCCTTGGGAACTTTGGCGGGTGGAGCCTTCGAGCCATGAGGCTCTGCGCTAAGGGATTAGGGGTTTAGGGGTTTAGGGTTTAGGGTTTAGGGGTTTAGGGTTTAGGGTTTAGGGTTTAGGGTTTAGGGTTTAGGGTTTAGGGTTTCGGGTTTAGGGTTTAGGGTTTGGGGTTGGATTCTAACTTTCTCGGTTGCTTGGAAGGTTTATCTAGCGCCTCGGGCTGAGGGGTCACGCACGGTGAAAGTTATTTACAGCTCCAAACCATTCCAAACCCCTGTGAAAATAACTTCGTGTAGTACTCAGGGTGAATCGAAGTCTAGTCGCTTGTGTTGCCGGGGGCCTACATAATTAGAATGGGGTGTTGAGGTATCTTTCACCGTACTTTACGAGAAGGAGCGTGCTACTTGTTGGAAGCTGAGTCACATCCACAAGCTCGTCACCCCACACCCTCAAAACCTCAACCCATCTGGGCACTTTCGGCGCTCTGACTCTCTGCAGGTATAGCGTGCGCACACACAGCTGCAACACCTGGAATGCAGCGAAGGAGAGAGACTGGAAAAGCGAGTTCTGACACTCATGGCCCAGTTCTTTTCGAGGATTTCAATTGCGAACGTGGGCTGCAAAACAACTGCGATAGTTCATAATTAGAAGGGGTATTGATTTACACTACAGTTATCGCATGAATACGCACGGGCTGTAAGGGGACATCGGGAAATCATTACCCACCTTCTCAAACCACCAAGCAGCCGGTGTCATGCATATCCAGGTCACATTGCAGTTCATGGTTTGTGGTTGGCTGTAGAGTGTGCATGCCATGTACCTTCGCTGCAGTCCGGGTGTAGAGTAAAAGCTGTGCAATTCCTCGCGCGTTTCAGCACAGGTTACGCACGAAAGTCACGAATCCTGTAGTACAACTTCCACTTGCGTTTATCGAAAGTACCAGCTGCAGACCAGTTACTATCGGCTATCACTACCATTATGATTAGTATTGGTATTGTTAGTTGTACTACTATCACTATTTCGCTCAAATATCCATATATGTATGTTTATGTATATATCGGCCGTGACTTCTCTGCCTGGAAACGAAACTGCTGTCCTCCACAACGCCTCCGGTTGGCGAATAGGGAGCAGCTGGCTTTGTAATTTCGGAGAGAACAGCGCAGGACATTCAAAGGCTGCCGGCTGCATTTCCATCCAATTCGAGCAAAAGTTGCAGCGTGGAAAACTGATGTCAAAAGTCTAACAAAAAGGACTGAAGGCACATGGAGTTGGGGCATTGGAGCGGCAATGCCGACCATGAACAAAGCTTCACAGAATCTCGACCTGAATGAACAAACCAGGGCGAGTTGCCTCTATGCGCAGCATAGATGAGATCTTTGGGGGTATTACAAATTGGAGAATGGTTAGGGTCATATTTATGGTATACGCAGACAGGGGCTAGAAGGGAAAGCTGCTGCTAAACCCGATGCCTTACCAAATATTCTGACCCCCTCAAACTTATACAAGGATGTCGGCCCCAACTCCAGAAACGAAGTCCTTGCATCGTCAGCTCGGCTGTATGCTGGACCCCAAAATCGTGGAGTATGTTGATTCATTGTGCAGGGATTACGATTTAGGGTTCCAATCATGGTTTGCAGTGTCGAGCCGTGGCTTGAGCATGCCGGGTGTAGGCTTTAAAGTGGCTAAGGTCTTCATCACATCTTCTGACGTGTTCTCATGTTAGTGTGGCACTTCTGTTGTTGATGACACTGTTCACGTGGTGGTTGTCCTTGTTATATCTTGTGTTGTTGTTGTTGTTGTTGTTGGTGGTGGTGGTGGTGGTGGTGGTGGCGGCGGCGGCGCCGTTGGCGGTGGTGCTGCTGGTGGGCTGGTGGATGGTGGCTGGCACTGGCTTTGGTAGTTCAGGTTGAGCATTGCGCTGGCTAGTACCACCTGGCAAGGCCATTTCTCCACATGTTCTGCTACTGTGCTCCTGACAATGCGGCGTGCCAGCGCAAGTTATCAATGCGTCATGCTCAGTGTCTTGATGTTACTAACGAGGTCACAACTATTTTTGGGCCAATCCTACATACGGGGAAGGGTGGTATTCTGGGTAAACAGTACATGTTAAAACTCTTGAGTTAAATGCTGGAGCTGGCCCAACCGGCGACGTGACGATTGCGCTGGAGAAAGTATCACTCCCCGCACGTACGGCGGATGGCGGATGCTGCAAATTCGTGGCCCCGGCTCGTCTCACGGGATTACCGACAATGGCTTGGAAGAAGAATAAAGAGAGTTTGCAGATGTTTCGGGGATCCTATCCCATGACAGCATGTCTGTACACGAAGTTTGCCTGAACTAAACCGGGTTAAACGGGTCTAGGGCTTTCAGCAGGAAGGTCGGAAGTCGAAAGACACACATTCGGAACACTCTCGCTCTCTCCCTATCCCACTCAACATAAGCACGCTTGTATCACAAACCTCCCCACTGTGCCAAGTCTGCCTGTCATCCGGTCTGTGAGGACTGCAGCATCCGTCACGGAGCAGCCAAGCTGCGGATTGAAATTGTGTCAGACCCGCCGACAGCAGCTTGAGCTTATGCGACCAAGGTGAGCTCAGGGTTTAGGGTTGAGGATATCACTTGAAGCGAAGTCTTATCGGCCGTTCACATGTCAATTGGAATCGCTTCTGCGTTGTTCGCTTGCCGGTCGCATGCAATGCAAGGAATCACACTCTGGTTTCCACAAGTCAAGCATCTGTCTGCACGATACGGCTCCTAAACACTTCCATGTGTGATGGAAAGCGGACTTTGAGGCAGACCGTTGCGTGGTCAGCTGCGCAACCATGAGAGCAGTCAGGACCCTGAACCCTAAACCCAGAGACTCCAAACTAAATTGAGGGGGTTCGGAGCCTCTGGGAACCCCAACTAACAGTGTTTAGGGCTTAGGCTGCAAAAAGACTGTGGCATCCAAACTGAACCAGGACATGTACTTTCGGAAACGACAGCCTCAAAACAACCCGCGTTCATCAGATAAGGTGTGGGCATGAAGGCTTACCCTAAACACGAAAAAGCATCCATGTAGCTGTGGTGTAGGTTTACTTGCTGGGTTTAGGGTTCATGAACGCGGGGGCACATTGAATATCAGGATTTCGCAAGTATTCCAGCACGGGGTGTTAGGTCTCTGGTTCTCACAAAAGGAACTTCAAAGCTATGCTCGGCTTCTTCGGCCACATATGGGAGTTTCCGAAAATTAGGGGTAGGGTCATTATAATATGGATCCTATTGTTTGGGGTACTATACTAGGGTCCCCTATTTTCGGAAACTCCCATATATTCGCTGAGAAGCATTGAAGGAGATGGCTCCACCGTGCTTGTATCCCCCACATCCAAACTCCTAGACCCCAAACTTCCAAATCTAGTAACCCTGAACTGCTCTTTACCAAAAACCCCGGGCTGGGAAACTGCAAAAGTCTGAAGCGCCGCTTTTCCATTCCGGACTGTGCATGACAGCCTGCTCGGCGCTCATCGCGCACAAACCGTGGCCTAACAGCTCTTGAAACCACTCTCTAAGACTCTAAGTCTGCTTGACTCGTTTGACCCAAATGTCTGTATCTGTTTACAAGCAGTGCTGTGTTGCCGTACAACCATGAATCGCCATAACTCGAGCTGCCATGGAAATTATGGACTGCCTTCCACCATATGCACATCTGGGGTCATGGTATCCCTAGAAGACCGAAGGGCACCCCACACTAGAACGTCCTATGCCCTGCGCAGGATGTATCGGGCGTTCAGAGATAGATGCGGATGAGAACGCCGAGCAAGCCGGAAAACAAGGTTCCCAGGAAGTACACCTGCCGCAGGAAAATCGCCTGAGTAAGGGTAACGCCTCTGATGATGAAGCCTGCTGCACTGTCTGCAATGAACCTCAGCTGGCCCCAGCACAGAAGATTGCAGCCTAAGGCGTTTTAAGGTTGTTGTTGACTCCAGATGCTTTAAACACTGCCCCTCTTCGTGCTTGCATCCTTAGGCCTAGTCCAGAATCGGTAATGTAGGAACCTGATTAAGAAACCCTGGGCCTATAACCCCAAAATAGTAGGATTATATAAGGAACCCTAGTAAAGTAAAGGCCCGAGGTTTCTTAATCAGGTTCCTACATGAATATAGACCCTTTATAGATCCCTTATAGTAGCCCTTACAGACCCACACCTTTAAAGGAACCCTAATAAAGGCCCGAGGTTTCTTAATCAGGTTCCTACATTCGGAGCCCCATTCGGGCACGCCAGTTCTAGAGCTCCGAAAAACCCTCGGCAAAAAACAAAACAAGCCTCACTGATGGCCCAGGCCTTGGCACTTAGAACACGATTCCTGTTTACATAGATGTATGTGTGTATATATATATATATATATATACAAGTCTTTCTTTACATGTGTATGCAAAACATGTTATACATATATATATATATATATACTTTCGAGCATTGTCCCACTTTTCGAAGACGAACCCTTTTTAAACACCCTTCACAGGCCCTTCACGAAGCAAGGCAGCCGCACGAGGTACTGGCGGTGCATGTCGATACTTTGCCCTGGCCCAGGGTTTCACCCTAAACCCTTTTTTCTACTGGACTCAAGTCGAAACCCTTAACCCGTAAACCCCCAAACCCTGAACCCTTTTTCGGGATTCGGTTTTTGGCTTCCCCATCGCAAGCCACTGCGAGCACCGCAGGTCCCCAAGCAGGAACCTCCAAAAGTTTGCAGCTTAGGGTTTAATGTAGGAACCTGAGGGATCAAGAAACCCTGGCCCTATAACACCAATATGTTAGGATTCATATAAGGAACCCTAATAAAGACCCAAGGTTTAATCAGGTTCCAACATTAAGTTGCTGTTTTTGTTTAAACTGCCCCTTGGTAAGGTGTCCTGTGCTTCAAAATACCGAGCTAGAGAGCAGTAAAAGCAAAGCAACAACAACAGCAGCAGCAGCGGCGGGCGACAACAACAGCAAAAGCAAAAACATCAGCAAACAGCCAGCAGCAGCAACAGCAGCAGCAACAGCAGCACCAGCAACTACCATTGCAACGGCAACTGCAAGAGCAAGAGGCAGCAGCAGCAACAACAACAACAACCGCGACAGCAAACAAGAGCAAGTGCACCATCAAGAGCAAGAAGCAGAAGCAGCAGCAGCAGCAGCAGCAGCAGCAACAGCAACAGCAACAGACACAGCCGCAAAGACAGCCACAGCCACAGCGATAGCGACAGCACCACAACAGCCACAGACACAGCCGCATAGACAGCGACAGCAACAGCACCAGCAACTGCATCTGACTATTTATTTCATGTTTAGTATCACTTTGGAAGTATTCTGCAGTATTGTGTTATTACGGTTTGGGGTTCCGGGCTCTATGGCTTCATGGTCGGGTTTAAAGAGGCTTGAAAGCCTTTCGGGTGTAACGTACAAAGTTCTCGCCTCTAGGATTTCAGGAGCTAGAAGAGTCGCAGCCTTAGACCCACGAGACCAGGCCTAAGTAGCCGCAACTAGAACCCAGCTAAAGCCTCAGATTGGGACTCCAGATGTCTCCAGCCTGGGATTTGATTCACCATCGCCGGAATTGCCCGACACTTCTCCTGCAAACTTGCACCACCATTTCCCTCACCGACCCGAACCGTTTGGGGCAAAGAGGGCATTTACGCTGGGGCGCAAGGCCTGGGGGCAGAGTCTGGAGTTTAGGGTAATGCAATCTGGCCCATCGGCTCCGTGAGAGCAGCGCCATGTGCACAAAGGCGCGTGGTCAGGAGGAAGAGTAGAACAAGCGGCATGGCAGACCTTATTTGCGCTCCGACTATTTATGCGGGTGGGGTTTCACGTGGTTTCACTGTGCAGAAGTTTGGATACTTGTCTATGCTTCTTTTGCACTGCTGCTGAGATGAAGCACTACCGAGTCTTTCGGGACGTGGGTGGCGAGATGTCTCGGTACACGTGCTTCGGGACAACTACAGCGTGCGCGCGGTGGGTGCGCTTCTTTGTAGAGATGGGGGCACACCCACTTATCGCGCGCTTGCGTCAGCATGTAGTCCCGCCCCAACCAGCCCAACTAGTCTCAATTAGGGTTTAGGTTTCTTTTTTACGTGTGATGACATACATCCACCTGTACAGGCGCACACTGTGAAACTGAATCTTGTTCAGGTAGGGCATGATCGTGTAATTCATGTGGAGGATGTCAGCTAGTGTCGCCGGGCTGGTTGTGAAGCTAGTAGTCGGGCTGGTGCACGCCATAGAGCTCGTAGACATCATAGAGCTCGTTGATGTCATAGAGCTCGTTGTGGTACTCAGCAACGCGAGGATGTAGTTGACGAAGTGGCAGTAGTAGGCGAGGTCGTGGATGAAGTCCGGTCACCTTGACCATGTGCTTCATCTTCAGCTTCATCCAGTTGTTTTTCGCCCACATGCATGTCGCCTTCGTCCTTATCATCCCCAGTGTTCATGGTGTAGATTTCACCTCCCAAACTCCTCTCAAGGGGGGCTGTGTTGCTCTCTGCTTCTGCAATAAATCACAGCTGAGATGGATTAGTGATTAGTGTGCGGTTGTAGGTCGTCACGGCCTGTGCCGGCCGCTCGACGAGAAGAAGGTGTTTCCAGCAAACACTTCGCTCCTCGCACCCTGTCAGGGTTGCTCGAAGGAAAAAAAGCTCAAAAGGCCTGGCTTGGCAGGTTGCTTTCGGATTCAAACACCGGAATGGCGACCCCGAGATCGGCCCCGACCCTAATGGAAAAATGCATTTCTTTACGAAAAGAATTTGTTCGTGCCGGATTCTGGGAAAGTGGGCAGGTCGCCCTGGCTGGGAATTTGTCGGCCCTTCTGACAGGCAGCTTCTGGCAGGCCGCTGAGAAGGATTTCAGAATAGGACGTGGGGGCAGTGTGCGTTTGCGAGTGTCGTATGTTGGACGAAAGGATTTTGGGTAGACCTGCAAGGCGTTAAACACACCAAAAAAGGTTGGGAAGCGCTTGAAAAGTCCTGAGACACCTTTTTCCGAAAAAAATTGCAGGTCGCCGCCTCGAACGCGCCCCGACCAGGTCCCTGGAAATTTCCCAGTCTGGGACCCCAGACCCCCCTGGGGGCCCCCACACCAAAGGCAGACCAGATCGGTCTCAACCATAAGAAAGGTCCATCTTTCCCTGCGTAACGGCAGAGAGGTCGCTGGCGGGGCGGCGTCACTACAGTCCGCGTATACCGGGAGGCTTTGGGGGCCTCGGTCGGAGCCTCGAGCGCCCATGCACATGGTCAGTGGCGCTCTTTGCAGTTTAGGGATCCAGAAACAGACCCGACCTCAACCGAGTGAAACAGGAATCCTCGACCTGCTCAATGCTCAATCCCCCAACAGAACCCCCCTACAACCGCTGAAGCCTAACCACACGAAAACTCTGAACAGGCATTGCGTACACACCGAACTACACATATTCATATATACATAAAGATATACGTATGTATGTATATATATATATATATATATATACACACATGTACATAAAACCCGGACTGTCTTCACGTCCGAGGTACAGGATTTCCATGCTGAGAGGCAAAGCCTGAAGATCTCGGCGCCATAAGAATGTGATGCCGTCCCCCAGCCATATCATCAAGCCTTGGGGTGTAATGTAGGGGCCTTAAAAATTAAAACAAGAGTTATAGTTATAGTTTCATACACCCCCAAACCCTTTCCTAATTACAATTGTCAATACCCTACATTAGTTGCCTAGTGTTTAAGGTCTGGTGCTCCCGCGTAGAAGGGTTTAGGGTTTAGGTGGTACGGTGCTCGAGGTTGCGGGCTTAACGGTTAGAACAGGACGTTGGGGGTCTGTTGCAACATATTTGATTCGAGGAGCCCTAAGCCATGTGATAGTAGTAGTAGTAGTAGTAGTAGTAGTAGTAGTAGTAGTAGTAGTAGTAGTAGTAGTAGTAGTAGTAGTAGTAGTATATAGTAGTAGTAGTAGTTGTAGTAGTAGTAGTAGTAGTAGTAGTAGTAGCAGTAGTAGTAGTAGTAGTAGGAGTAGAAATAGGAGTAGGAGCAGGAGTAGTAGGAGTAAGAGTAGGAGTAGGAGCAGTAGGAGTAGTAGGAGTGGACTTTGGACGAACCATGTAATCACGGGAGTATGAGAGGTGAAACAGGTTTACAAGCTTCTCACATAGGACTCTCAGTGCTTGCGGGTACATTTAAACCTTCTTTAGACGATTAGAAATTCCTGTTGACTAAATGCTGCAGTATGCCCAACCCCTGAGCCCTTTCAGCATGGGCTTGGATTGTGAGCCGGCGAACACTCCTCAACACCCTAAGCCCCTAAATCCTCATCCCAAGGCTTCTAGGGCCTTTATTGATGACGGGTTCGGTTGGGCGTTTAGGGCTACAACTGGACCCCGAGTTAGCTGTCGAGAAGCTTGAAACGAAAAGCCCTATATGATCCGCAAAACTGAAACACTTGCCTTAAGCCTAAACCCTAAACCCTACCGCTCTCATCCCAGACCGCCGGACCCTAAACTATGCTTCGGGAACCAAAACAAAGTCTGAACTATATCATCAAGCCTAAACCCACGACAAGGGAACCACCAACCGGAAGACAGTTCCTTGGTGCCCGAATTGGGGGCTTCAGCAAACAGAGGACGCGAATATACCCAAAACAGCAGGGTTATCATGACCTGTAAAACCCTCTAAACTCCATGAACGTCCCCGATACAACGCCGCAACACCCTAGCAACAGAAATATTGTAGTCCACTGCATGCAGTTGTAGATGCCTTTTTCAGCACGGACTGAGGTGCCGGCCAGCGCCCACGAAACTCGCAGCCCCAGATCCCTAAACTCACAGGGAAAAAGGAGGGACCCTTAATGAGGACCCCTGATTGTATACCCTTAATACAGCGATTGTATACCCATTATATAGCCCATTTATAGGGTAGGGGTCCCCATTAAGGGTCCATCCTTTTCCCCTTTGATAAACCCTAAACCGTCTGGCTTCCGAAGCTCCCGGGTTTAAGGTTTAGGGTTTAGGGGTCCCATGTCGGAAGCTCCAGGGTTTAGGCTTCGTCGAGAAAGATGCTAGTAAAAAACGAAACAACAATGACTAGCTTCGCCCCTCAAAGCCTCTGAAGAATATTCGTAAACAAGATCCTCTTAACCCCAATAAGGGAAAATATAAAATGTCCCAAGGGCCTACCTAGATGACAGTGCCAATAATATCGACGATGCTAATTCTAGGCTGCTGAACCAATTAGTGTCATGGCAGTAAACCAACATCGGAGGTAGGAATACAATCAATACCTGACGTGCTAGTATTCGGAACTGTACTGTATAAAAAACGAACTACACGCTGAAATCTTCCTGCTCTGATACCCCAGGAAGGTGAAGTTCAAACTAAAAATACCAGAACGATTCCGCCCTTGTACTGTAAGAACCCGAAAACTTTCATGGTTCGGAGGTCAAGACCGATAGCATGGTCAGTACGCATGCACCATAAACTAACAAGGGTATGACAAGGCCGGGATCTGCGCTGCAAACAAGCCGCCAGCCTCTACATTTTACACCCTCTGAAGCGACAGCCGAAGAACAGAAAAACCCTGATTCTAAACCCCCAGAGCCTCAACACTAAAGCCTAAAATGTGATTGGAGGCCACAAGGGTGGTTTAAGATTCTTGGGTTAGGGATTCCCTAAAAGGAACCCAACTAGGGGAACTCCAATCCCTACAAAACCCCCATAGGCTAGAACCCCTTTTAGCCTCCTAGGAAGGTTCCTAATATAGTACCCTAAATAGTAGGACCCTTATAATAAGGACCCCAAACTAAGGTACCCCGGACCAAGAAAAACCCTAAACCCTAAACCCCTAAACCAACCTCTGACCAAGAGGCCAAGCCCACCAGCCACTTGCAAAGCGAGAAAGCTGTTGCCCAGCTCGCGGCCAGCGCTCTTCCTCGAAGCCCTAAACCCTAAACCCTACACTTTCCTAAACCTCAAAGCCCTGGTAAGGGGTTTAGGGTTTAGGGCCGGGACCCGAGGCTTAAAACCCTAAACCGTAAACGGCTTATAGCACAAAGTCCTACTGTTCTTGGGGGGGTTCAAGGGAATTTCAGGGGTGTAGGGTTTTGGACCTAGGGGTTTAGGGATTACGGTCTAGGATAATCAAAAGCTTGTTAGTGCTCACAGTGAGCTGTTATATAGGTGTTTGAGGTTTCGGCTTTAGGTTGCGAGGCCTTACGACACCCTACTCAAAACTATCAGACATTGATGTGAACAGATTGGAACCCGGAACCTTACATCAAACCCTTCCCTTCTCACAACACAGGGGTTAACATCAGGTTGTTGAGGGTCCAGTTGTAAGTCCTGGTTAGAAGAGGCATCATGCTACGGCTCAGGTTGGGGTCCTTTTTTGCTGAAACTCCACAAGCCTTAAGCAAGCATCCTTTTTTTGGGAAGCTTTTAGGGATGGAAAGATTTAGGCTGGTAAAACGATCTGTCTCGAAGATTGCAAGGGAAGCTGTGCAGGACGCCAGAGTATCGTCTACGGAGCCCTCTTGCAGTCTCGGGAAGGAATCTTTTGGAAGGATGCCAAACGTGTAAAAGGCCACACCCCCCAGCATCATGAGTCCGCCAAGGTTGTATAGGTGGTTGTCAAAATTAGGGTCCCTTTCTGGATCCCTAATGTAGTACGGCACCTAATATTTCGGGTTCCCAAAAAGGGACCATAATTTTGACAACTACCCGTCTAGAGGCCTCCTAGGGCCCAAGCCCGAACCCTGGGTGCAGGATAGCAGAAATGCAGGTTAGTTTGCCGACACCCTGAACCGATTATGTGGTGCTTGGGCGGACTCTTAGACCAGAACAACCTCTGAACCCTAAGCGAGCCCGAAGCTCGCCCTAAACTTCAAACTGAAGGGTAAGAGTAGAGCAGTACTGTCAGCTGTCTCAACCTTACTCCATCTATACTATGAAGACCGGCTAAGTTTGACAGAAATTCTAATGTTACTACGCTATTGAGACTAGTGCTGGTATGCGTCTTAATGTGAGTCTTAGCCCAGTCTTAGTCTTCGTCGCATGCCCTAAGCCCTAAACTTCAAAACCCCAAAAGCCTAAATCCCTAAACCCCATAAACACCTCAACCCTATCCATGTTCATCCTGAGCTATACACCGTCTTGGGCTGTGAGTTCCGGGAAATCCGTGGCAGGTCGAGGGGATTAGTCCTGGGATTTACGATGTAAAGGGCCATTTTCGGTTTAGGATTTAGGGTTTAGGGATTCAGGGGGATTGGTAAGCTGTTGCAGAGTGCCGTATGTCAGGTCCCATTTGAGGATTGACTGTATGAGTCAGAGAGCACAAGGACAAAATCCAGATATGCAACACACGGTTACTTCGAACATCAGAAATCGACAACCCCAAACATCCCAGCTCTCACTCCAAAACCACCAAAGAATCACTTCACCAGAAACCTCGCAGGCAAGGTCAAAAGCAGTTGACCCTCTAACCTGTACCTTCACAGAACCCTAAACTCTACCTGTAACCGAACAACCCTACTGTTTAGGGTTCCTTCACATGGCTTTTACATACAGCTCCTAAACAAGGCAAGCTTTTTGGGCCACGGGTAATCCCTAAACCCTAGACCCCTAAACGCTAAACCCAGCAAAAGCGCAGGAGCGCTTGCATGGAATTCCAGCTGCGGACTCCTTCGCTGAAGTCCTGCCCACGGTTTAGGGTTTAGTTGATGAGTTCTGAGGCTTCTTCAAATGAACCCTAAACCCTAAACCCCTAAACCCTAAACCCCTAAACTCTAAACCCTAAACCCTAAACCCCCAAACCCTAAATATCTCTTATTCATGAGGCAACAATCACGGACCCTGAAGCCTTTAAACCCCTTTTTCAAGCCCTGAACAGGAGCCACCCCAAAAAAACGAAACGTACACCGTTGAAGGTATCATTCCTCAACACAGGCGTACTGTTCAATACATTTTATGTCCAAGTGATGTTCTGGCCCCTGACTGAAATCCAAAGACCAAACCTCTAGGAGCCGTAAGTGCGGGGTTTCAGTTTCTGAAACTTCTTGCTTAGAAGCCAGATGCTAGTCCAGCGCCGAGGAATCCCTGGACTTTTGAGCATCGGGTTGCAAGGCTCCGAAACTATTGTGCATAGGGCATTTGGGAACTGGTCCAAGTCTGCCTAACTACAAGACAACTCAAAGACAACCTTTTTGTGAACCCGGGCTCTCTGAGGTGCCCGCACGGGAGCAGAAGTAGCACTGACGCTTGCAGCAGACAACCTAAACCCGAAACGTGCTGTCCGCATTGGTAACGACATCGCTCACCCAGAAGTCCAAGATAAGATCCTCTCGCGGCTATTGCGGAGGGCAGGAGAGTATTGTAGGGGCCTTAATAATTAGAATAGGGTTTTGGGGCCCGAAACACAATAACTATTAGTAAGGAGCCCACAGAATAATATAGGCAATGTTTTAGCCCCCCCATATTACGAAGTCAGCCTACTTTTTGTTAAGGTTGGGGCTCAGGGCATTTGGGCACATGTCAACTTCAATCTTCACTTGGGAGCATCCGAAAATTAGGGGTACCTCTTTTTGGGGTTCCTTTAAAGGGTTACTATAAGGGTACTATAAGGGTCCCTTTAAAGGGTTCTATATAAGGGGTTGGAGTTTCCGAAAATTAGGGGCCCCTTATTTTGCTCAGGATCATACTATTTAGGGTACTATATTAGGGTCCCCTATTTTCGGAAACTCCCACTTGGGTACTCGGGAGTTTGGTTTCAGCCGCGGACCTGCGACCACCCGAAGCCTGCAAATCCGGGACCCCTGGCCTCGTGGTGATTGGGGACGCAAGTGAAACTTATGGGCCGTATCTAATCAGACAGCACTTCTGTGTTTCTCATCAGTTAAAAAAATAATGTGTGGACTATCAAAAGGGGACATCATACTTAAGTATTCAAGCCTTTGTATAATGAGGCTTCTTGACCGGAGGTGTCAGCAGGGCAATCATGGGCTGTGTGGATTGATTGTCTCAGGGCGATGCCGGATTTTGGGTTCAGCTGCACAGCTGCAGACAGCCCACATACTTACATTCCCTACTCGCTACAGGGCTCAAACACAGCCATAGCGATTTCGCAGTCTCTGCAGAGAATTAAGTCAACGCCCGTCCATGCACTCGGAACCCCCACGCCCTATACCCAAATTAAACCGCATAACTCAAGTCCCCAAACTGCCTGAACCTGACATAAATCGTACCTCAACCGCAAATCCAGCCGGTCCAGGCCGATCAGCAGCTGAGAGTGAATGTAAGCAGCCAAGACCACAAGGCTGCTGGACAGCACAAAGCTGATCAGACCTTATTGAGTTTGTAGGGGTATAAGTTTAGGGCTTTAGGAGTTTAGGGCATAGGGTTTAGGGGTTTAAGTGCTTGGGCTTTCGGGGTTTTTAAGATATTTGCGGCTTCAGGTTTTGGAGATTGGGTTTTGGGTTGACTGGGCTACAGAGTAGTCCCCTCACATGGGTATGGCATGGTGCAAAGACTCATGCATGCCACCTGTGGGGTACCCAGATGCTGACAACATGCCAAGCCCCTAAGTGTCATCATCTATATTGTCGACACTTGCTAGACCAGATGGTGCAAAGCTTCAGGTTTCAAAATGAATTAAGACTATACCCCAAACCCTAAACCCTTTTGCAACTGGCCTGCTGCGACTCCGAACCCTAAACCCCTAAACCCTCCCTGAAAGCCTTGCAGTCGAGTAAAGGCACAACACTGTCTCTGAGCATGAGTACGCTGTTGGGGTTCAGAGGGTTTAGGGTTTAAGGGTGTAGGGTTCAGGGAGGGTTTCGGGCAACCCTACACCGGACACCTCTGAGCAGGTAAACCCTACCCAGAAACTCCAATATCCCTTTATTCAGGAATATACCTTAAATCATATTAGGGATCCTACTATAGTTTAAGGCATATTCCTCAATTAAGGGATATTGGAGTCTCTAGTCAGTCGCTGAACTGCAGGTGAAGCGCTCAGGGCCGCAACGCTGTACATCATAGGCCCAGGATGACCTCCCTGCTCTTCACAGTCCCTGGCGACCGGTGATAATGGGATTTATAGGGTTTAGGGTGCAGGGGTTTAGAGTTCAGGGTTTACTATAGAGGCCTGAATAAGTAGAATAGGGTTTTGGTGCCCATAATACTATAAATTAATACTACCGGGTCTAGGGTGCAGGGGTTTGGGGCTCAGGGTTTAATATCGGGGCCTTAATAATTAGAATAGGGTTTTGGGGGCCCAGAATGCTACAAATACCATCATGGTAGTAAGGAACCCGCCGAAATACGCTTGGTAATTATCTAGGCCCCGACATTATAAGTAGGGTCTAGTAGTTTAGGATTGGATTCGAGGCCTCCGGATTCTCAAACCTTCGGGCTCAAGGTTTGTAGCATGGTTTGTGCCCGGCAACCCGAAAGAACTTTGGTAGCTCTTGCTCAAGAACTTACAGTAAACCACATAAAGTTGGACATCTGATTAAGGGCCAGAGAGTGCTGGGATTCCCTAGACATTACCTTTGAGGATTGAGGCTATTGGGTTTCCAACTTCTGGGCTTCTACTATAGAACTAGTCATCATGACAGAGATGTGGTACACAACGTGCTTTGTCTTTTCGGGAAGTAAGCCCCCCTCAACAAGATGCCAGTAGCAGCATCCCTCTGAATCGGCTTTTTACACCTGGACTACGCATATGCCAGGAACCGAGGCTCAGAGGCTAAACCCTAAACCCTAAAACCCTGAAAAGTCTAACGCGGATGTGGGTGGTTGTCAAAATTTTGGTTCCTTTTTGGGTCCTTATTATAATACGGCACCTAATATTTAGGGTACCCAAAAGGGGACCATAACTTTGACAACCACCCATGTCTCTTCAGCTGGAGCTGCTCCATTGAGCTCCAGAAGTCAAGCGCCCACGTGCCGCACATGTTGGCAACTAGGAACAGGGCGAAGATGATGTATCCTTGGATTCGTTCGGGGGCTTCAGGTTCGTCCTTCAGGTGTAGGAAAGGTGCCATGGGCAGAGCTCAAATTTGGATGCAGGGTTTTAGTTTTGCGCCGTCAGGTTTAAAGCTGTTGACAAGAGCATGCCCCGCTATGCTCAACAAGCAATCAGGGATCCGAAATGCTCCTAAACCCTGGGTGTTTTAATAGTTTGTTCAAGCAAAAGGATCGAGTTTGGGATTGCTCGGTTCCGAGGACTTCACGGTTGCCAGTTGCAAGGATCTCAGACTTCTGCAGGCCCCGCTAAAGTAGAAAAAGACTGTCCATCCCTACCGATTTTTTCCCCTCCACCTTTTGTTTGCAATTGTTGCATCTGGACTTGTGCTATCGCCTCCTAACGCTCTAAACTTCTCAAACATTCAAGATCATAAACCGTAAACCTGAAACACCAAAACAACTCCAGTAAGTCAATAAGTATGTATGTACGTATGTATGTGTATACATTATACATGTGTCTATGTATGGAATGCACGCATTCATGCATGCATACATGTAATGCATGTCATGTACGCAATGTAAGTAAGTATGTAATTATGTATTCATGTGCATGTATGTACGTGTGTAAGCATGGATGCATGTACGACGTATGCATGCATGTCCGTATTTTTGGCCGGCATGTCTGTCTGTCCGTCTGGCTGTCCGTCTGGGTGGCTGGCTAGCTGGCTGGCGGGCTGTCTGTCTGCATGCAATCATGCAAGGATGGATGGACGCATGGATGGATGGATGGATGGATGGACGGACGGAGGGACGGAGGGATGGAGGTATGGATGGATGGATGGAGGCGGACGCGTGGATGGAAGTGCGTAACTCTCTCACTGTCCTCTAACACCTGAACCCCGTAAAACCCAAAACCTTGAAGCACTGGACGCCCATTGTCGAAACCTCTGAAGCGCAGCTCGTGCGTCTACGACGCTCGATCACCCGCTTTGCCTTGGCTGCTTAACCAATTTGGGTTGTCAAACGGTTTGGGCTCAGAGATGTTTGCTTGAATGCTTCTCGGCTTTAGCCTCTCATTGTGTTGTGGGCGTCTAAGGCGTCATACATGGGTTTCTGGGTGTTGGAGTAAAGGGGCCCGACACATCAAAGCAACATTATAAACCCGAAAACCTGGCACCAATGAAACCCTTCTGGTTTTTTGTTGCCTCCCGCCTGGCTAGGACGAACCTACGATGCAGGGTCTGTTAGCAGCTGGCTTGCCCCCTATACAATTCTGTGAGCTTTGGGTTTAGAGCTTCAGGGTTTTAGGGCTTCGTGTGTCCTTTTGTTGCGAAGGCATCGTGAGGGATTTGGACTCTCCCGATGCGGATATCGGCAGTTTAGCAATCGAAAGCCTCAATCTCGAATCGACCGTTCTAGGCCCATAACCTTCGTTTTGCCTGGCCCATCTTCAACCATCTAAATCCCGAGGTAATCTCAACATCTAGATTCCTAGTACAATTTCCAAACTCATTCCTATACCTAACCTAGAGAATCCAACGCCCAGGCCCTCAACCCCATAGATTCCTGAGCCATCATTATCGACCCTCAACCCCTAACCCTTGAGCTCTAGTCCCTGAGCCCGCAACCCCTTTCTGCAACAGGCTTTCCACTTCGTCCGGAGTTGGAGAAAGCCGCCCTAACAGCCCGAAACCCTAAACACGAAGCCCTTGAACCCCGTATAAGCCCCAAACCCTGAACCTTAAACCATAAACCCTGAAACCTAGACCATAGACCCTGAACCCTCAACCCTGACATAAAAACCTGATTAAGAAACCCTGGGCCTATAACCACCGAAATAGTAGGATTCATATAAGGAGCCCTAATAAAGGCCCAAGGTTTCTTAATCAGGCTCCTACACAAAACCCTGAGCCAAGAAACCAACCAATCGCCCTGCAGGTCAGCGCTTCCAAAGCGACTCCTCGAGGACGGGGGGAGCTTCTGGGCTTCAGCGCAATCTTTAGGGTTTAGGGTTTAGGGCTTAGGGTTTTGGGGAACCTCAAAATGTAGGATTCCTGAAGCCCCAACGAGACCCAAGGGCTCTCCCTAGGAGATTCCGGACCCTCCCAAGGAGATACCTGGACCCTTTGGGATAGGGCTTTCAGGCTTTAGGGTTTGGGGCATAGGGTTTTTGTAATGTTGCTTTTTTCCCTCTCTCGCATTGCTTGGAAGTCGATGCCTAATGTTGGTTTAGGGTTTAGGTATTGGGCTTTAGGGTTCTTTTATGGCGGTTTGGAATGTTAGCTTCTGAAAGATTAGGACTCAGGATTTAGAGGGTTCTTCCATTATGGTCCTCGGAATTTTGGTTCAAGGCTTGGGGTATGGCTCGTAGAAAATTTGATCAAGCAAAATTGGTTCTTTCTTGTTTCTCTCTTTCTCTCCTACTTTTCGTGGATTTGAAACAAAAGGGGCTCATATCAAGGGTTCCAGCAGAAGGGGGTCTTAGAGTTGGGTGCATGTGGCTGGTTGTCAAAATTAGGATCCCTTTTTGGGTACCCTACATAATAGGTGCCGTACTATATTAGGGACCCAAAGCGGGACCATAGTTTTGACAACCACCCATGTAAAAGTTACTTGCAGCGGTTTCAGGGGTTTGAGGTTGGGGCTCTGGACTTCTACCCAACATACGGCTGATGACACAAATCCTGCACTACGCATAATAAGGAATATACCATAATTCCCGTACTTTAGGTTCCTTAAGATAAAGGGTTTATATCATCAACCGTATTAACCCAACATATGGGAGTTTCCGAAAATAGGGGACCCTAATATAGTACCCTAAATAGTCGGATCCTTATTATAAGGACCCCAAGATAAGGTACCCCTAATTTTCGGACACTCCCACTTGGCAGCGAAGGAGGCTCTGCTCTCAGCTGCGCAAGGCTCGGGCTTCAAGTTTATATGGGTGGTTGTCCCAATTATAACCCGAGAGTTATATGGGTGGTTGTCAAAATCATGGTCCCTGGTTGGGTCCCTATTCTAATACGACACCTATTATTATTTAGGGTACCCAAAAAGGGACCCTAATTTTGACAACCACCCATATAGGGCTGGGGCTTCGACTCTGACCACACGGCTGGCGGGGACTTTAGGGTTTAGGGTTTAGGGGTCTCGGGAGCAGTCATGTGAAGTGAGGAGGAGGCTGCGCTTGGGGCTTCGGGTGCCTTCGGAACAGGCCTGGAAATGTCCGATGCACCTAGGGTTTAGGGTTTAGGGTTTAGGGCTAGACACAACATTACATGACACCGTGGCGAGATCCGGTGTTTGTTGTGGAGCAGCTTCACGCCTATATACTCCTCACAAGTGGTCGAAGTCCAGAAACCGTCCACCGACTCTAACTCAGTCTCGCAACAGCTTGCTGAAGGCAAGGTGGAGGTCTTCGGAGAGCAGAGCAGTTCGGAGTAGCCCACCGCAACCTGGGCAGCATTCCCCCGACTTCAACCCGCAAACTCACGAAGCCTTGCAACCGACTCTGTCCAACTCTCTTTGCCCCCAGTCAACTGTCCTTCCTCTAGCTGAGCTTCTAATATTTCGAAAACAGATGTGTCTCTAAGCCCAAATCCTCGGATTTGCCAAACAAGCCTAAATAAACCGCTCGACGCGAACAACATCCTGAACCCAGAAGCACAGGAACAACCCCGGAACCTTGGCCAGGGGGTGGGTAAAACCACAGCTGAACCACTGTGGTAGGGCGTGCAAAAAGCAGATAGGCATGAGTACAAGGATCTCCGTACCTTATTCGGCTTCATTTTACGGGAATTTATATCTTCTTGGGGCTTCAGTATAAGGGGATGTGTATGGGATATCCTTTTCAAAGGGTTTAGAGTTTAGGGGGTTGAGGGCTTCAAGGCTTAAGGGATCAGGGGATTTGCATGGGATATCCCTATCCTGGTTTTTGCTTATGTGTGCTTTTTGCGGCCCCAATGTGGGTGGTTGTCGAATTATGGTCCCTTTTTTGGGGTTCCTAATATAATACGGCACCTAATAATATTTCGGGTACCCAAAAAAATTTGGGGTACCCAGAAAAGAGACCATAATTTTGACAACCACCCATGTGCTTTTGGGGGGCCGCAATGTGGTTTGCTGCCAGACTCTGCCTCCTCAAAGGGGTTATAAGTTCTCGTTTTTCCCCCCTACCTAGCAAGGACGAAGCCCGCGTTGCAGGGAATCTTGGTTGAACAACTGGAAAAAGCTACATCTTCGTAGCAAATTTTGGCCTTCGAGCCGTAAGTAACTTGGTCTCGGTTTAGGGTTTAGGGTATAAGGTCTACGTTAAGCCGGAATAACCTACCTTTTTTAAGGACTTATATAAGGAAATCATACTAAGGAGCCCTACAAAACGTAGGTTATTCAGGGTATAAGGTCTCGGGTCTTTCAGGTCTAAGTGTTGAGAGTTTCAAATGTTTAGGGCTTAGGGAAAAAAGGCTTAGGGTTTCAGTGCTTAGGGTTGAAGGTCTTTTTGTTTGAGCTCCTTTTGACGGCTGCCCAGTCGTTTGAGCTTCCAGAAAGCCGGGTTTTCAGGTCCAAGTGTTTAGGGGTTCAGGGCTTTAGGGCTTAGGGTTTTAGGGTTTAGGGTTTTGGGCTTGGATCAGGGTTTGCGGGTTTCGGTTTTCGCACTGGCTGCCCCAGGCATGCGGAGTGTACGGATTTGTTTAGAGGTCAAACAAAGACCTTCGTGTGGATTTAGGTTCGGGGTGTAGGGCTTACAGTACACCTCGACTTCTCGAGGTCAGGGGTGTCCTGAATCTAAGCGAAGTGCATGGGGGCTTGAGAGCTTCAGGGTCTAGGTGATGATATTGAGTTCCGACGCGGTTCAAGTCGCCTGGCCTCCCCTCCATAAGCTGAAGAAAGCCTTTCAACCACGCCTCAAAGTAAACTGCTGCCACTGCCGGCAGGTGGCACATTGCCAGCAATCCGTAGAGCACAGTGGATGCAATGGTCATGCCGTAGCTTGAGCTACCTGCAAATGCGGACGCTTTAATGTTGACAAGAAGAGCAGCAGCAGGAGCAGGAGCAGTAGCAGTAGTAGCAGTAGTAGCAGTAGTAGTAGTAGCAGCGGTAGCAGTAATTAGCAGTAGCAGTAGAAGTAGTAGAAGTAGTAGAAGTAGTAGAAGTAGTAGCAGTAGTAGGAGTAGTAGTAGTAGTAGTAGTAGTAGTAGTAGTAGTAGTAGCAACAGTAGTATAAGCAGTAGTAGCAGTAGTAGTAAACCAAAAACAGACTGCGATAATAAGAAACAACAAATACACTAGCAGTAAAGGCAAGGACAATAACACTACCAGAACCAACACCTAATAACATTAGCAGTACCAAAAGTACACCCGAAATCCTATTTAATCCCCTTAAACCTACGGTCTCAGGATGCCCTAAACCCTCTCTCTCTCTCTCCCTCTCCCTCTCCCTCTCCCTCTCCCTCTCCCTCTCCCTCTCCCTCTCCCCCTCTCCCTCTCCCTCTCCCTCTCCCTCTCCCTCTCCCTCTCCCTCTCCCTATCCCTCTCCCTCTCCCTCTCCCTCCCCCTCCCCCTCCCCCTCCCCCGCTCCCGCTCCCTCTCCCTCTCCCTACTCTCCTCTCCTCTCTCCCTCTCTCCTCTCTCCTCTCTCCTCTCTCCCTCTCTCTCTCTCTCTCTCTCTCTCTCTCTCTCTTCTCTCTCTCTCTCTCTCTCTCTCTCTCTCTCTCTCTCTCTCTCTCTCTCTCTCTCTCTCTCTCTCTCTCTCTCTCTCTCTCTCTCTCTCTCTCTCTCTCTCTCTCTCTCTCTCTCTCTCTCTCCTCTCTCTCTCTCTCTCTCTCTCTCTCTCTTCTCTCTCTCTCTCTCTCTCTCTCTTCTCTCTCTCTCTCTCTCTCTCTCTCTCTCTCTCTCTCTCTCTCTCTCTCTCTCTCTCTCTCTCTCTCTCTCTCTCTCTCTCTCTCTGGCATTCGACACGTCATGCCCTAAACCCTAAACCCTAAATCCTAATCCCCTAAAACCTAAGGCTTCAGGATGCTTGATGGTGTGGATAAGACGCTATTCGCAAGGAGCATCGGCACTTTGAGGTTTAGGGTTTAGGGTCTAGGGGTTCAGGGTTTAGGGCCTGGGCATTCAATTGTGGGGTGCCGGGGATGGATATAATTTATAGCACTGCAAGATCTGAAAAAAAGGCAAAAAGGGTCGAAAGCTTGGTAAAGAAACGATCAAAAGAAATCAAATTGGGAGTCAAACCGTCAACCCTACCCTATGCCCTAAACCGTCGAGGTCATGCTTCACATCTAGATTAACCTCGACGTTCAATTCTGAGTTGTCCTTTAAGCCCTTTGAAAAGTATTCACTATTCTGGTTCTCTACAAAAGTAGTAGGGGAACTTAAACAAAAGATCCCAAAGGACAACCCAGAATGCCCGGAGCACGAGCTCGGAACCTGCACTCTGAGAAGAGCAGGAGGATGTTTGCAAGAAGGTGAAAGAAAAATCATGTGATTACCCAGGATTCAGATTCCTAGGGTTCCTTTAAAGGGGTCTATAAGGGTTACTATAAGGGTACTGTAATATAGGCGCCTAAATAATTGCCTATACGATTGTTCGGGTTCTTTATTTATAAGTATAGTATTATGGGCCCCGAAACCCTATTCTAATCATTAAGGCCCCTATGTTACCACATCACAAACCCTAAAGCCAAACTGGGAAGCAAGCGGCATGCAAAGCCAGCGCTGGCGAAAAGCACCAGGAGGCTTCCCGCAGATAAGGCAAGCAGACCAATAACCTTCATTATCAAAGGGGAAAAGGAGGGATCCTTAACGGGGACCCTACTCCATAAATGGGTATATAATGGCTATATCCTGGGTATATACCTAAGGGTACTTATTAGGGGTCCCTCTTTTTACCCTTTGACATTGGCTTCGTAAACTTCAGATCAGGAGATTAGGGGTTCATCCCAGAGGCTCCAATATCCTTGATTTAGGAATATTCCTTGCATCATATTAGGGATCCTACTATACTTTAAGGTATATTCTTAATTAAGTGATATTGGGGTCTATGGGTTGTTGCCTGAAGATGGAATACGATATTCGAGGATGTATTTTCCCATGTATGGGCGGACACGCACCATGCAGGCCAAGGATCTAGGGTTTTCGGGGCTGAATTTTGAGGGCTGATGGTGTCATTCAAGCGCCTGATTCGGGTGGTGTGGGTCTTGGGCTGGCTGGCTTCTTGTCTGCCTTGACGTGATATGGGAGTTTCCGAAAATAGGGGTACCTTATTTGGGGTCCTTATAATAAGGATCCTACTATTTAGGGTACTATGTTTGAGTCCCATATTTTTTGAAAACCCCCATATGGAAAATCATGCCTGGCAGAAACGCCAGCAGGAAGCACCTCCTAAACCCAAACCCCGAACCCTTTGTCCCACCTGAATGAGGTCTGGCCGGTGCCCGGTCCGCTGGTTGTATTAGTTAAAGGGTCATGGGACTTAGTAACTAGGGTTATTATTGAGGTAACTATGCTTATAACAACTTATAACCCCAATTAAGGGACTTATGACTACAGTTACTAAGTCCCATGAACCTCCAACCAGTTAAGGGCCAGACCGGAGCTTGACTCCTGAACCCCGAAACCAAAAGCGGGTACGTACTGATACTCCCTCTATGTCGTATCGAATTATGGTAGAATTTGCCCCAACAGGGTACCCTATTCTACTTCTGAGCCCTAAACATCCCAAAGCAACAAAACCCAAAACCCTAAACCCCTAAACCCTTTTACACCTAAACCCCTGAACCCTAAACTCTGAACCCCATGTTCGGGGTCCCCTAAACCCTAAACCCTCGCGTTCAACTGCAGCTCCAAGGACGCCGAACATCGGCCGACGGACTGCGATCAGCAACTTGCAACCGATCTCATCCTCCAGCGCTTCCTTCGTTCAGGGGGCTTTCCGATTGCGGTTTAGGGGCGGTAGGGCTTAGGGTTACTGTTGGGAGCTTTCCGGTTAGGGCTCAGGGCCGTTTTAGGGCGCTTCTCTGCCACAGTGGCAGCTGAGGCTTCACGGTTTCGGGTCTCCGGATTGGGGCTTTAGGCCTGCCTTTAGGGGAGGTACAATAGGGGCCTTAATAATTAGAATAGGTTCTTGTGGGGCCCCTTATGCTATAGTTATAGTAAGGACCCCCCAAAATAGTATCGGTAATTACTTAAGCCCCTATATTACTATGAGGGCTGGCTCCCTCATAATGTAGGAACCTCATTAAGAAACCTTGGGCCTTTACTAGGGCTCTTAATATGGGTCCTAATATATTGGGGTTGAAGGGCCAGGGTTTCTTAATCAGGTTCCTACATTACCCTAAGAAGACCATTGATTACACCTTAACCCCAAGTAACCTACCTTTTCAAGGGCTTATGTAAAGAAATCATATTCGGGAACCCTAAAAAGGCAGGTTCCTTAGGATCCAGGTACAGCTAGGACCAAAGTAAGTCGGGCCTGGAGGCAGAGCGCATCGGCCAGGTTCTTCGCCCTACTATACGGACTCGAACAACTGGGAATTTTCGAACATTTAGGGTTACCTGATTTTGGGTCCTTGCAATAAGGATCCTACTATTTAGGGTACTATATCAGGGTCGCCTATTTTCGGAAACCCCCAGCAGACAACGGCGACATGATGCCTACTTGTCGGGTATCATGGGGAACAAAAGGTTAATTAACCTTCTTGGTTATATAGGGATTGGGTACGGACTATACTACCCAAAAACGGGTATATAAAGGTTACCTACTCTACTACTAGGATACGGACCCGAACAACTAGACAAGGGCTTGAGTGCGCGTTTATGGCTACATGTGGGAACCCTGGGGAGGTAGAGACATGCTACGTAATGGTTCAATCGTCCCAGTCAACGGTTACTGAAACCCTGTACACCCCTATAAAGCCTTCATAGCAATGCACGCCCAAATCCTAACCCTAAGCCCTCCTAAACGTTAAACCATTGAAGCCTAACCCCTGACCCCTTTGACTACCCTCATGGCACAGCCCAACATTTAACATGATTGGGGTCTGGAGAAGGTTATTGCAGCATAGTGTCCTCCACGTGGTTCACCGACTGGGAATTCAAGATGCAAACATGAGACACCCGTTCGATGATCTGCATGTTCAACGTCCTGAAAGATGCCGGGGAGGAGAGTTGAGATTCGGGTTCAGGGTTGGTGGGTGCAGAGTTGCCGTCGCTCACGCTCGGACAAGGTGTAGGGTCTAGGGTTTTTAGGGTCTGAACATTGAGCTTGCCTTCCCTTTGCTTGGGAGTTTGGGGTCGGCACTGCTCCTGTACAACATGATGTGAAGCCGTAAACTGCTGCGCTTTCCATGAAGGCCAAATCGCGCAGCTCCAGACCCTGAGCCCTAATCCCTCAACTCCAAACCCGAACCCCTGAACTCTGACCCCCAGTCCCTAAGCCCTATGAACCTTAAACCCAAATGCCCCCGAAACCACTATCCCTAGACCCTAATCCCACAACTCTAAACCGCCTCAACACTCATCCTTCAACTCTAAGTTGAACCCAAACACCTATGCCATAGACCAGAATGCCTCAGCCTAATGCCTCATCCCTAAACCCCTTAACCTTACATAATTTCTCAACTCTAAACCCTAAGGCCCTAATCCCTCAACTCTGAACCCGAATCCTGGCACCCTACACCATACGGGTGGTTGTCAAACTTATGGCCCCTTCTGAGGTACCCTGAATATTAGGTGCCGTATTATCATAGGGACCCGAAATGGGACCCTAATTTTCACAACCTTATAGGAGCCCTATAGATCCCTTGAAAGGAACCCTTAAAGGAGCCCTTATAGGAGCGCTATAGATCCGTTTAAAGGAACACAGCCATAAATCTTCCATCCCGGGCACCTGTCGGAAACCGCGGGCTTCGGCGCCTTCAGGGAGCCGGAACTCTCTCCCGGACTCGCCAAGGCCTTTCGGGGCGAGACTTCTAGGGTTTAGGGTTTAGGGGTTTTTTTCCTCCTACCTAGCCAAGGCAAAGCCCGCATTGCAGGGTAACTCCGGAGTAACAGTTGCGTTTCTAGGGTTTAGGGTTTAGGGGTCTAGAGGGGTTTATGGGTGTGGTTTTCATTATTGTGGTTTAGGGTTCAAGGGTTTAGGGTTTCTAGGATTCTACAGGAGTTTATGGGGTGTGGTTTTCATCGGGTTTCTTTGGCCGTTTGTTTATGGGCCGCTTATAAGGTTTCAAAAGAAGAATATGGGCCTACGGCATGGGGTTTAAGGGTTGTCGATTTGTGCTAATAGCTGCTATGGGGGCTCAAGCGTTGAGGCTTTGGGGTGCAGTTTATAACCCAGAGACTCCAATATCCCTTAATTAAGGAGTATTCCTTAAATCATATTAGGGATCCTACTATTGTTTAAGGTATATTCCTTGTTTAAGGAATATTGGAGTCGCTGGGAATGTAGCGAAGCTCTAGATTGTAGTTCCTTCGTTTAGCTTACTTTCAAGGTACTAAGCCCCAACTATGCAAAGCTAGGCTCTGGATTGTAGTTCCTTTATTAATCTTACCATCAGAATACAAAGCCCTAAACATGAAACAGGTTGTTAAAATTACTGCCCCTACAACATAATGATTCCGAGTCCATGTAGGATTTAAGGCAAGGGAGATGGAATCTTCCTTGGGTTCAGGATACCTGAGTTTTTGAGGTGCAGGGTTCGGGAATTTGAATTGAAGGTTTGAGGTTAGGCTTTGGCGAGAAGGTAAATCCCTCAGCGTTTAGAGTGTGGGGCTTCGGATTTAGAGTCAATGCTTTCGGGTTCTTTTGTCACTGTGCTTTCGGGTTTACACACCTCAACCCCTAAACCTTCAATCGCAACAACTAAGGTAAAGCCATCAACCCTATCAAGCAACAAAACTCAGCTGGGAGGGGTATGCGATCGGGTCGGTTGGCCCAGGGCTCGAAAACCGTGAAACATGTTAAACATGGCACGCCTTGTCTATATTCCGACATGTTACAGATTACCTACCCAGCCACGAGACAACCCAATTGATCTCCCCAGGCCCCAGGGGTAACAGCCCTCAACTGCATGACCCTCGCAACTCCAGCTGCACCAGAGGATCTTGGCACTGACATATGGGTAGTTCTCTAAAGGCACCCCTATAGGACCGTAAAAGGGGTCCTTATTCATACCCTCGTGCAACCGGACATCAATCCTAAGCCCCCGATTACTATTAATTAAACCCCAGGCACCAAACCACTGAAACACCGAAGTGAGAAGTCACAAAATCCCAAAAAGAAGCCCACCGGCCGGTATGAATCTTGAACTGCTCTAGCTTGGGTACTGGCGCCCCGTACAGTAACGGTCTATGATAGGACTACTAGTAGAAGGCCTTATGTATCCACATGTTGAACATTTGTTGGGTGTTATTGCGGGCCTTCTATACCTATAGTAAGGATTTATTATTCAACCGTCATTGAGTGGGAGCAGTACCCAAGCTCTAGCTACTGCCATTTAACGAACCGAGCTGAAAAGACACTGGAGCTATCGAATCCAGCAGCCGCAGCTTTGAAAATTGCTTCCAACCTCCATTCCTCGATTCGAACTCGTCGGAAAGTCCCAACCTGACCCTACCCAGAGGCCCCAAAATAGTTCCTTTTTGGGGTTCCTATGTAGAATCCTATAAGGTAACCCCAAAAAGGAACTACTTTGGGGCCTATGGGTAAGCCCTTAAATCCTAAACCGCTAAATCCTAAACTCTAACCCTAACCTTCTACGGCTTGGGCTTTGGGGCTTTCCTCGCACTGCTCCTTTAGGCCATCAAAGCCTCTCAACACTTTTATGCCCCACAAGCCCTGCATTAAATCCGACATATCTTGCCTGAGCCCAAATAACGAGGCAGCTTCGGGGTTGACATGGAAAGAGCCGTAACAAGGCAGGCTTTTATAGGATACGTGGGAGTTTCCGAAAATAGGGGACCCTCATATAGTACCCTAAGTAGTAGGATCCTTATTATAAGGACCCCAAAATAAGGTACCCCTAATTTTCGGAAACTCCAACCCCTTATATAGAACCCTTTAAAGGGACCCTTATTGTACCCTTATAGTAACCCTTTACAGGAACCCCAAAACTCCGCCTCTCTGCTCAGGTCCTCCGGAGCGCCAGGGAGCCGTGGAGCCGGCAAGACTAACGGCGCGGAGGGCACGACGAGGGCCATTGGGCCTCCTAGGATACCCAGTAAGCTAAGAATAAAAAGCCCTCTCTTTTTGGTATTGGGTAACTTGTAAGGAACCTAGGACTACAAAAAGGGAATAAGGGTACTACTGGGCATCCTAGCCTCCTGTCGCCGGCTCTTGGGCTAACGTAGGAACTGATTAAGGAGCCTTGGGCCTTCATTAGGTCCTTTAAGGGGGTCTATAAGGGTTACTATAAGGGATCTATACGGGTACTTTAATCATGTAGGAACCCAGGTAACAAACCTTGGGCCTTTATTCGGGTTCCTTATATGAACCCTAGTAATTTGGGGGCTATAGGCCTAGGGTTTCTACATTATCGGTGGGCGGTCAGAGACCCCATCTCCATGTCTTTCATATCATATTCCAGCAGGTTTCCTTACAAGAAAAAATCAGCCAGGGATGTTGAACACCACTGTTGTTACTACATGCTGTTGTAAACGCGATAAGCGCTTTTGGCTGCCCGGCCTGTCAAACCGAAGGGTTCCTCCATATCAAAACTCCTTTTAGCTCCAAATGCTTGACCTTGCATATTAAAAAATAAAAAGTTCTAGTTCTTGACATAGGAGCGAAGCAAGGCATGTGAATGTGTACAACCTAGACTATACATGTAGATGCAAAATATCAAAATGCAGTATGTGTGTATACATAAAACACATACACATGCAGGTACACATCCACATGCTGTTTGAATTATATGCATAAAATAATGTACATATACATACATACATGCATACATACATACGTGCATAAGTACATGTGTACATACAAGCAAGCCAAGCTAGCAATCAAGAAAACAAACAAACACAAACAAGCAAACACACAAGCACACAAACAAACAACACAAAACAAACGGACAAACGAACAAGCAAACAAACAACCATGCACACACCATGCAAACAAACAGGATGTAATAAACATATACCTACATGTACATGTACGGGAACTTAAACATGCAAAGAAAATGAACATACACATATGCAAAATAATTATGAGTATAGGTGACTGTGTGCAAGTAGGAGTAGATTGAGTAGATGCGTATATGTTCTTGTATATGTATAAGTATATGTATACACATAAGTGCATGTGCATGTGTACATGCATGTGCATGTGTAAGATTGTGTATATGTATGGGTGTATAACTACCCACCTATGTAACATGTGCATATCTGTATACATGTGTAAAACTGTGTGTGTGTATATATACATGTTGTTCAAAGAAATATGCACACCTATACCTGTGCACCTTTACGTGCACAAAACTATAATATGGTTAAAGGTACATAAGAATAATGCAAATCAAATAAAGCGAGCCTATACATCTTTATGTACACCTGCATGTACATGGGTGCTACCGACATTTACTCTTCCCGAGTCTATAAGGGGTACTACAAGGGTGCTACGATGTAGCAGCTTCAGTGATTACAGTGGAGGGTTAGCATATGTTCTATATTGTGCCGCAATTGTGCTGGAGTGGTTGGAGTGCCACAGTCGCTGGAGTCATGGGTGGCTTCGCAATGGTGGCAATCTGCAAAACAAACTGTTGCAAAAAGATCAAGCAGCCGCAATAAACAACTGGGTCCGCAAGTGCTCGAATAAGAAATAACTTCCGAGGCTTAACAGTAGCCAGCTTCCCTGGGGAGGAAAGGTGCGCCTTCATCCGCTTGTCGGCGCGTCCTCTTCTGCCTGCTGTCGATACCTGCAGGTGGCTTTGCGCTTGGAGGCTATACGAGTCTCCTCCTCCTGGGAGCAGTAGCAGTAGTAGTAGTAGTAGTAGTAGTAGTAGTAGTAGTAGTAGTAGTAGTAGTCGTAGTCGTACTCGTAGTCGTAGTCGTAGTAGTAGTAGTAGTAGTAGTAGTAGTAGTAGTAGTAGTAGTAGTAGTAGTAGTGGTAGTGGTAGTAGCAGTAGCAGCAGCAGCAGCAGCAGCAGGAGTAGTAGTAGTAGTAGTAGTAGTAGTAGTAGTAGTAGCAGTAGTAGCAGTAGCAGTAGCAGTAGCAGTAGCAGTAGCAGTAGGAGTAGTAGTAGTAGTCGTCGTCGTAGTAGTAGCAGCAGTAGTAGTAGTAGCAGTAGTAGTATGTAGAAACAGTAGTAGTTGTAGTGCTAATAAATTCTAATATGCATAAATTCGTGGTGGTAGTGGTGGTGGTCTTGGTCGTAGTCGTAGTAGTGGTGGTGGTCGCGGTCTAGTAGCAATAGCAGTAGTCAGTAGGCAGTAGACAGTGGGTAGTCGGTAGTAGGTATTAGGTAGTAGGTAACAGGCAGTAGTTGGTAAGAATTCTTGAAGCAACCCAGGGGCTATGGTGTGGAGAGCGCAGCGATGGCATGCGCAGCGGTTCAGTGTCTCCGTCCTTTGAAAGCGGAGCTTCTGAGTCTTGATTCAGGCGTACGTAGGGTGTGCAGGGCTCACGTGCGTCCAAACAGCCAAAACATGGATTCACTGGTTTTCCGATCAAACGGCCGACACGCAAGATCTAGTCGGCAAGGCTCGAGTGTAGGCTTCCGGAGTTAATTTTCTCACTACGCCATCGTAGACCCCCAACCACAACGAGAACCTCTCCCAAAAACACGGCGTGAGTAAGAATACCACACGAAACAATGCCAAAGGCCGAATGGTGTTACTCTGCTATCACCAAAGGTATAGGATTAACAAGCTTGCCAAAAAGCTCGAACCATTTATCAGATATCGAGTTTAGACTCCGAAGGTACTAAACCCATATATCACATATATCACACAAACGTAGTTTAAGTGGAGATCGAACTTTTGCATCCAGGCCTGTTGCGACTGCCGGGTACCCTTGAAGTAACAGAATCAAGCTTGTGTTAAGACCCGGAACCTCTGCTGTAGAACCTTGGACGACGAAAAAGAGCTGAGAACCCTTGTCACATCACCGTAGAATTCCCTTTTCCAATCCTTGTAACAGCCCGCCTAAATAACGCCGAAGCTTCAACAGCAAGCAGATGCCTCCGAGCCGCTCCACCGCTCAAGTGCGACACCTGTCTCGAATAAGTAACCTTTGAAGATCCATGCCTCGCTTTTTGGCGCTCTAATTTGGTAATTTGGGTTGGGTTTAGGGTTTAGGGAGGGTTTCGAACAGAAGAAGTTGAACATGTCGGGTTAGGTTGAAGGTTGAGGGCTAAAAGTTCTCTCAAGGATCTGTCGAAGTCGACTAAAAAAGGACTCACGCAGGGGCCTTAACTGTTTAAAAGAGTTTGGGGGCCTATTATACTATATTTATAACAAGGAACCCCAACATGTATAGGTAATTATTTAAGCCCCTTTCTTGAACCCCTCTTGTAGATCCCTTTCCTTTAAGGATCCCTTCAAAGGGAACCCTAAGTGATTATTCAGGCCCCTATATTGAGATTCCAGGCCTTGATCTCAGATCCAGACCCTACTATAGGGGCGTTAATAATTAGAGTATATAGGGTTCCTTCAAAAAGGGGTCTATAAGGACACTATAATCCCTTCCCCCTAATATTAAAACGCTCCCCCCCCCCCCATAATATAAAAACTGGATTTCGGAGGTTTAGTTTTTATATTAGGGGGGGTTTCGGTGCACCCACGTACCCGGACTCCCAGCTGCTGGCTATCCTAAGCCTGGGGCCCTGAGGCCCTGCTAAAGCCCTAAGCCTTAAACCTCGAGCCCCAAACTAAAGCCCTGAGCCCTAAAGCTTTAGCCCTGAGCCCTAAACCCTTAAACCCTAAAGCTCTCGTGTCTCTTTAGTACTGCTGTAATCTTTGGCTCTATAAAGCCCTGAGCCCTAAACCCTTAAACCCTAAAGCTCTGCTGTCTTTAGTACTACGGTAGTCTTCCTTCAATTAGAACACATACAGATCTGCCACCCCCCTTAATGTTGTCCCTTTTAAATTGAATGCGGGGCCCGAAACCGCAAAATTCCGGGGGCCGGCAGTTTTTATATTAGGGGGGGGTTGAATGTTCAGGGGAAGGGATTAAGGGCTATTATGAGGAGGTACCGTAATGTAAGGGCCTTAATAAGTTGAAGAGGGTTTTGGGGGTTCCTTATTCTAATTATACTGTAACATACCCCCAAACCATATCCAAATTATTAAGGCTCCTATATTACTGACCACCTTTCCCTCAAACGCCCTTCGGCCGCGAGCGAGCTCGAAATACAACTGCCTGAGTCTGCAAGTCCTACCCACGACTCCGCAGCATCGATCTGTGGCTTAAGTTTTATGTCTTTGGAAACCACTGAGCCGAGATGCTTCACGAGACCTCGCTCGCTGCGTGGCACAGCCACAATGCTGGCGCTGGCTTCCTCTGGGCACTTCGGATACCCTGTGATAAGCATCAAATAATCTGTTCACGGCTGCAGAGTTCTGTGGGCTCGGATCTGGCCATGGACTGGGGTGTCTCAAATATGAAATAATCAGAACCCACTGCTCGGAAAAACAACAGCGGCAGGATTAACAACAACAGCACCTAAACCGCCACCGCAACCGACTTTTACTTTTACTACTACTACTACTACTACTACTACTGCTACTGCTACTACTACTACTACTACTACTACTACTACTACTACTACTACTACTACTACTACTACTACCACTAATACTACTACTACTACTACTACTACCACCAGCACCACCACCACGACTACTGCTGCTACTGCTGCTGCTCCTGCTCCTGCTGCGGCGGCTGCCGCTACCGCTACTGCTACTAGTCTAGAGCACATAGCATGCAACTAACACCCACTACCCATGAGCAGCATGGTTTCAGAGGCCCGCCGCAGACAATGTCCGCACGGACACGCCTCTTCCCGAAGTTCGACTGGCATAGGCACCGCAATATTTATATGTAGACCGGTGACCAGTATATTCAGCATACTACAGTATGCGATAGAGTCCACCACTATGACCATGACGACGAAGACGACCAGGAAAACCACGACCATCGCTATCACCACGACGACCAGGAGACAAGCATGAGATGCCAGACCACCACCACGAGGAGACCA